AGGAGGGAAGGCTCCTGATGGGAACGCAGGACCCAAGGGCCACGTCTTCCCCAGGCACTGGGGACGCGCCAGACCGACAGTGTTTTCCACTAAACTCTCCTCCTCATTTCTGACAGTGGCCTTTCCCCCCCTCCATCAACCAGCCTGAGCGAGACCCTTCCACGAGCAAGCGCCTGCACCGTGGGACTCCCCGCCGCTGTCTTATTTAACATATCAAGACACCACGCGATTTCACTTAACCTGTTAACCCACTATAAGCAAAGCATCTCGGATAGGAGTGCTCCTTCACATGCCTTACACAGCTTTGAACTTCCCATGGGGTTTAACAAACTGACACTACTCCCCCACCGCTTACGCGCCCCTAACGCCATGGTCGTCGATCCGCCAGCCCAGTAGGAGTAGGATGCCTGGGCAGCTCTCCCAGCTGAGACAGCATGGATCATCGTAGAAGGTAGAGTTTTATACCGGACAGTACTTAGTGGCCAACGCCATGAGTATTCTCCCACTTCCTGCACTTTTGAAACCAAAGGTACCTTCACTGAAAGAGCTCGGATTTCTTCAGACCGGCAAACGACGTTAGGATGGATTTTTCTTTCATTTCTTTTTCTAAGGAGGATGTTTTTGTTCAGCATAATGGATTAAATGCAATAGGATTAATGCAATTATTCTTTTAGCTTTCGAGCTGGTTTGCTATGAAGACGTATTGCTAACAAGAATACTTCTACTCGTATGGATTGTTGAGATGGACTTTGCCATATTCTTTAAGCTGCTAACGGCACAACCGCCCTGCGCTTCGGGGAAGAGCCCAGACCCCGCCAGCACCCGTGCAGCACCTACTGCTGGATCACGCAGAGAAAAGAGGAGAGAGCTGGATGCAAACCAAACAGCAAAGGAGTTACGTGCACCGTATGAGCCAAGGAGGGTTTAGGCTGGTGTTAACAGGCAGAGCCCCCTCCTAGAGCTGGGGGAGCTCCTGCTACCCCAGGGCAGCACAGGGATGCCCCCTCTCCACCGCACAGGCACCCATCTGTGCCAGGGTCCTCCATCCGTGTCATCTTACGGAGCAGGAGCCATACATCTTGCTCTGCTACCGTCCGTGTAAATGCGTTCATGCGACAAGCCTAGTTCTACTGCTGCCACTCGCCACTGGTCCAGCTTCAGGAGAGTATCTCCCGGCCCCATCCTAGGACACGCAGCACCTGCGTTCGGTTTTTAAGCAAACACACCAGGCCAAATGTAACGCAGCCCTTGGTCACGGGGATAATCGCTTCCCAAGCCTACGGCTGCCCTTACAACGTTGAGTTCGCATAACTTCTTGCCCAAGCACTGGTGGAAATGAAGGAGGAGAAAGAAACTACAGCCTCTGCTGCAGAAAAGGCTCTGCTGCTG